TAAAATCTCAGGATTACTTGTGGTGTAATGGAAAAAAAACAGAACTGTGACCTTGAAAAAAATCATATTCAGAGTAATACAAAATACATTACTCTGAATACATAAAACGAATGATGATAAATAAATTCAATAGTTCCACTCATCTGGCTGAATTACGTTTATGGAACTCATTAGAGTTCTTAATAAAAAAAATCCCTATTAATATATTTAAAAAAGTAATAAAAAAATGAAAATGTTAAGTAATCATACTAGCCTAGACAAACTACAAAGAAATGTGTGTGTGGTTTAATCATGTCAGTAAGTCGAAGGTAGAAGTCCCTTTTTCTCTCTCTCCCACGATATAAGCCTGGAATAAACTTATTTTTTATTCATGAACTCTCTTAACTAAATTTAAGGCTTAGAAAGAAGACAGTATTAAAATGATACAGGGAATTTAATACATATTTTATTTATTTACTATTGGAGCTAAAAAACATTTGAATATCGAATAATTGATATTCTGTTGGTGTAATATTTTCTTTATGTTCTTATTGATTATAGTATAACCATTTTATAATATGTTAAACGATAGCCATTATACTTTTTTATTTATCTGATCATTGTTATAAAAATGAAAACTGATCATAGGCAGGATCCAAAAACTATATGCTGAAAAATAAATAACGGGTTTTCGTGAACTAAAAAATTTAATTTTGTATTGGAAGTGATAAGTTATAGCCAGCAATAAACAATATATGTAGTTTATTTGATAAACTCTTTCAATATTTTATAACTAATATATATACTAAATTTAATTTGTACATACATATGTATATGTATTTATGAAGTGATGCTAATCTACATATGGTTTGCCGAATTTTACAAATATTTTTAGGAAATTTCTTTATTGACATATATTACTATCTGTCACATTTAAGGACAATAGTAATAGTGATAAAGAGTAGATCATTCATACTATTGAAAATATAAAAAAACATAAATACTAACCATTGTTTCTTTAATTGAGGAAAATAGTTTCTGTAACACCAACTTATATTTTTAACGTAAAAAAACGCGAAAACTACGATAAAAAGGCGAAGAGCAGTGTAAACATTTGAAATTATAAAAGTTAAATCTCAGATAGTAATTAAATTTACATACTTAAGTTTAAATACTCGAGCTTTATTGGGAGAGGGATACAGATGTGCGCAGGTCTTTATAAAACGTAAAAATAAAAAAGCGGAAACGGTTTGGAAATGCAGAAATTTATCTATACATCGATGGCATTTTACTAACTGGGGAAAAAACCCTACATGCTAGATTCCCATCTGGTAAGACTGAAATGAGCTCCCATTCCGCTATATTGAGAACCGTAGCAGAATAAAATAATATACATAATATTATATTATAATATGTTGCATTTCACCGTATTCTTGTTCTATGAGTTCTAAAACGTACTTCAATCCTATTCCTACCACCTTTGATGACATATTATAATTTTAGAAAGAAAATACAACTTTTTCTTTTTGTTCTCCCCTTCCTTGTCTTTTAGTCTATACGGGGTTTTCCCGGGCCAGAAGGTAAGGGCGGGGGATTAAGGCCAGAGAAAAAGACCCCATCGGCAGGGGAACACGAACTCGGTATTATTTTAATCAAAATATCTAATATATCTGGTGGTCGGCCATGGATAGACTCTGCGATCGGAAAACCCTCCGGGGGTTCAGCCAGCCAATATAAGGGAAAATCTATCTGCACACTTACGTATCACACATATTTGGAACAGTTGAAAAGACACATATAAATAAACCTCAAATCTTTCAATCAAACTTTAGAATAATTTAGTTTCAACGTTTAGAATAATTACAAAATCACCTTAGTACGGTAGCAACATAGCATTATACACTGACCTCCATAAGCCGACTTAACGAACACTTAGAAACCCATTTGAATGATTCCATGAAAAATTACAAGGACACTTCAGCATACTCATAAATGACATGGCCACAACACACATGCCTAGTGACGTCCTTGGTAAATTGAAGAGGAGCTGGATGAAGGACCGGTTCGCTTTACTATTAATATAGCTATCACACCAGAAGGAGGTGCCGCTGGGTACTCCTCCTCATCATGCCTCTCATTTCACGTATTCTATCAGAAATCATTAATTTCACTGGCTGTTATTTTTATATTATTATTTTGACCGGTGGGAATAAAAATTATTTACATGTATTTATTGACATTAGGAATACGGATGCAGAAGTTCATTCACACCATATGTACAATAAATTAAATGGAACAGCAAAAGAAAATAAGAAACTATATATATATATATATATATATATATATATATATATATATATATATATATATATATATATATATATATATATATATATATTATTATTATCAAGATAAAAAATACTAAAACTATATTCATATGTTTATTACCACAGGTCGAAATAAATGTAGCTACTTCTTAGAACTGATAATTTGCAGAGAAATGAATTAGGAAGCCCAACATTTTTTTTATCCGTTTACCTGATATCTCTGAATGGGTAAGGTAAGGGTATAATGTAGAATAGAGAGTTTAGGCGATCGGATGATAAAAAAACAAAAAAAAAAACGAAGATGTGAATAGCGTTCGAACTGCGTATTGTGGCGCGGCGGGGCTGCTGTCGGGAGTTGTCCCAGCAAAAACAGGCAACGCCATTTCCCCTTCTCCTCTCAATTACAACAGAACAATCTGTCTCACTGCCACCCATATCCAGATTTATAAATCTGTCAACGGTTATTGGTATATATCACCACCCGTTTTATTCGAAAGTGATGCGTAGAAGGCGTGACCTTTACGTTGTGTGCACGTCTTCATAAGTTGCGGAATGGACTTAATCCGTAACAACTATTAATATTAACTTTTACTTTATTTAATCATGCATTGACCTTTCTCATGACCTTTATCAAAGCAAAAAAGCACTAGATAGCCAGGTTAAGCTATCTCTGATAGCTTAGAAATAGTTATCTAGAATGTACTGACTGGACAGAAGACACTTATCAAGACTTAGGGAACAATAACCGATTTCAGCTAAAGGGTACTTACTCATAGACTTCATATCAATTCTAAAAGATAAGGATATCAATTCTTAATAGTTATATCTTCAGGACGGTCCCTGCACGCCCAGTGGTATAATAAAAGGCCGCTGGCCACAGATGCTAAGAACGCATACAGCGTGCATAGCCCTCTTACCTTAAAATGCCCTTGGGCAATAAAAGGAAATTGTAAATTTATGTATATATACATTTATATACATATTGTATTTTTAAATCAAAAAATTTCTGGGGGGTAGGAGAAAAAAAAAAGTTATAACTTCATTCACACGCTTCCTAGATCGTCCAGAATTGATTCATCCCCCCTACTATTCCTGAGCATATAACCCCCATGATCCTTAGACCAAACCACTCATGTAGTTTATTCTCTTGATGTCTCTTACTGCAGGAAACCTGGAGTGAACTTGTGTAGTCAACTCATATATCCATAGTATATTATTCTGTATTTTAGATGCCATTTGTAACATTATGAATAAAACCATTATTTATATAGTATCCACTGCCTCCGATTTGTTAACTAAAGTTTAAAGTTAACCGAGCTAACCGATTTGTTCCGTTTAAAGTTTTTCTATTCTGATACAATTCTGACAGCCCATTTTCTAACGCGGGTAGGGCCCATTTCAAAAGGGAACCAATTTATTTAAAAATATATTAACAATTAGTTTAAAGGCTTTATACCACAGACTCCCCCCCCCTCTGCTGTGGTATTCTGGAGTAGTTTATATTTCATATGAAATATTAGGGTATCGTGTTACCAGGGGTGCTCAGAAGGAGGTTTTATGGCGACGTCAAAATTTTTGAGGAGACATATCGCGACTGGTTTTTGGTATTTAAGGGGGCAAATTTTAGCGATATTATGAATTTTCAGATTGAAAATTTTCAGAATAAGTGACAAGGGAAAACATAGAACAGACAATAGAAATTATAATTGTGTATGATCTACGATATTTCAAATTCTACTCACCCTTGCTCTGATTTTAAGAAAATAGGGCAATAAAATATATTGGGAGGGGAGGAAGATAGGTTCTTGTGCCATTCACCTTGGAAGGGATAGGCACAGTGTGTTACCAGTTCACTGTTACTATTTATACATTTAATTGAAAAATGGTTAAAACTGAAAACTAAGATCTATTTGTGAACATCACAAATATATATGAAAACATTGCCTGCAGAATGTGGGCAACCATTTTATAAATTGCAAACACAGATTTATAAATCTTCATTTTAAATGTACATAATCAATCAGCTGGTTATATGGTTGGATTACGGTCGTGCCTTCATCTGCTCTCTTCTTCGTGTCCCATTACCAACCTCGACTTCTTACCTACCTGTATTCTCAGGAACTCCGATCTTCCTTTCGTGAGGGCACTGCTTCTAGTTTTTCATGAGGCCATCTCTAGCTGACTTCTCCGCTGATTAACTGATCTCTGACTACCTTCCTCTTCAAGCAACATTCTTAATCTTTCCCTTCCAGAGTCACTCCCTGACTTTCTCTTTTCCATCTAAACATATTTTCATTTTTTTTTCTAAGTTTTCTTTTTGATGTATATATTTGTTTTAGGGTGAGACTATCCTTTCTACTTCTCTATAGATGTTTGGACTTTTTTCCGTTTTGAAATTCATCGGACTTTGCTTTAATCCTTCAAATATGCAGAGCCTTTGTTTTTATCACTTAGGTTGTCTGCCCAAAACTTTCTGAATGGGGAAAGTTGACAAATAAGTCCAATAAGGTACCAATATCATACACCCATACTTATTATTACCTACCATAACCAACCACCCATACTTATGGGTGGTTTACCCAAACGCCTATTTTCCAATCTCTTTTCAAGAAGTATACTGCCTCTGTTTCTCTGTCTTAAAAACACTACCACGACAAAAACTGTCACGTTGTAAACGAGGCTTAAAGCCTTAGTTCACTTGGTGGGCGGTTGTACCACAATGTCAGCTACGGTCGAAATATGGTCTCTCTTAATGGAAGTTCTAGATCTGATACTCTGATAAAAGCTCTACTTCATCTTAAAAGAGCAAGAGCTTCTTCTTTTAGTTAGAGTAGCAACTTTATTTTCTTGGGTCACTATAAACCTAGGCCTAAATGTAGACAAAATGAAATGTTCACGTGTCAGAGAACAATGTGATCTAAATATTACGTCTTATTGAATCTGTATGGATATATCAGTACCATGGAACTTTAGTTTGCCTTTTCAAATTATTGTAGGTTGATTCTCTTTGTTAAATGCTGTCTTGTATAGGACATTGGCAATTTCAACACTTAATGAACTTCTGTTTTTGTACCTAACATCACTGGCGTTCGCCCGATCAACCATTTTTTAAAATTTATTTTATACCTTAATATATGACATAGACTACAAATGCAACAACATTGTGATTTTAATTGCCCATTACCCAATAATTTTCATTACTTTGTTACGCCCAATGAAAAAGATTAATTATATTTTCAATTAAAATTATACTTTCAAGCTATATTAAATTTGTGTTAGTTTCTATGTGTTTTTCTGATATAAGGAAATGGATATGTAACGCGTTTTTTCTTATCCTCAACTGATTTGATAGGAGTCAAACATGAGCTCACGATCCTTTCTTCATTCCCTTGTCAAAGTTGGAATTTCATTCCTTATTTAGTTGTATTCTAGAAAGTTCATTATAATGTCGTAACCTGGAAACTATACCAATTCTCGCTTAATATATTACTGTCACCTTTATTTATTTTTTTGATAATGAGTAACCTTATCGCCTTATTAAGGAAAGTAACTGTTTTCTTTATGTTTATTGTTCTCATTCCTTCTTCATGCAGCAATATATTGGAAATATTTTTCAAATGTGTTATTATTTTATTATTATTCTGATGAAAGATCTAGTAATTTTAAAGAAAAAGTTTTTTCGTCAAAGGAAAAGATAACTGATCTGTCACTAATCGAAACTGAAATCCTCAGTCCTTTTCCAGGCGTCGTTAAAGGAATATATGAAACAATCAGGAGAGCAACAATCGGCCTTCGAAGACGAAGCCAAAAATGTTAAGGAAGCCAATGGTAATTTTTTCGAACATCTATTAAAGTAAAATTCCGATAACAGAAATACTATGATAAAATATTGCTTATTTGTAACTAGGCAATCAAATTTAAACAAATAAAAATTATATAAAAATATAGAATCCTCCTGTATATATTTGTACTATAGTTTATTTTACTTAATCATAATTGGGTACGTGCATGAATTATATTTTTTTTTATGAAAACATCACGATTTTTTCCAATAAACGAGAGTGGTGACACGGAGAATCCATGGCGTGTCAGTTGGGCTCACATCGTTGAATGTCGCATACTTAAAAACCACATCTGGCCAAAAATTACAATAATCAATTTTTTTTTTTTTTTATTGAAATATATTACAATCTGTCTCAAAGACATTTAGTGTTCTGAGATCACATTCACACTTAATCAAAATTAAGAATATATACAATATTTTCAGTGAGAGTATATTAAAACAAATAAAAAATGTAACACCATTTTGAAAAAAAAAATGTTCACGATCGCAATACTTACCCTTACTATATATTACATATATACGTAAGTCAAAGTAAAAAATAAACATTATTCAAATGAAAAGAAAAACAGAAATCAGGTAAAAAACAAAAAACAAAATGATATAAGCTATATGGGTTGATTCTTAAAATTAAAATTCAAACAATTTCAACAACCATTCTCTTCAATCATTCAGAATATTTATTTATTTCATATCGTACATAGGTGTGAATGTGTTTTATTTATTTTGTTATCATTCCTCTAATCCTTTATTTTACTTATCTTCTATTTTACTTTATCTCTTTACTTATATATCTCTTTTTTTTCTCTTCTTACTTGGTTATTTTTATTTATTTTCCTTTCTTATGTACATATTGTGGGAATGAATACTATAGTCCTAGTATCAATGCCCTTCAGTGTGGCAGACTGTATTAATACTCAATAAAAAGAAAATATTTATTTCATTGTACAACGTCATTGTACAACGGTTTGATGAAGATTGCCTAAACATGTGTGAAAAACGAAAAGCCGCTAAATTAAAAGCTCTAAATAATCCTAGCGAAGACAATCTGGAATACTTCCGAACCTTAAAGAACGAAACGACAAAATCGCTCAAAAATAAAAAAAGGGAGTATCTTAAAAATAAAATAATTGAAATTGAAACTATTAAAATCGAAAGTAACGTAAGAGACATGTACAATGTATAAACAGATCACGTAGATGTGTAGGGTCCGTAACATCTGGAATTAGGGATGATAATAACAATATTCTGACCGATCCGGTTGACATATTGAATAAGTTTAAGGACCACTTTGACAATATTTTAAATGCGGGAAATTATGATCTGTGTCCTCCTTCTGAGTACCAGAGTGCTAAACCGTTGATAGAAGGACCGAGTAAAGAGGAAGTTCAATTAGCTATCGGAAAATTAAAAACTTATAAACCAGCGGGAACCGACAATATTCCTACTGAACTAATTAAGGCATGCGGGGAAGCTGGAGTTTCTAAAATACATCGGTTGGTTAAAAAGATCTGGGTGAATGAGAAATTACCTGAAGAATGGAAAGAATCTATTCTTATTTAGGAATTTCACTCCTTCCGGTATGTTATAAAATATTCACTTCAATCTTAACAAGTAGAATTCCGGAATACGCCGAGGAAATTATCGGAGACTACCAATGCGGATTTCGACGGAATCGTTCGACAATTGATCAAATATTTTCTTTACGGCAAATATTAGAGAAAAAATTGGAGTACAACGGTATTGTTCACCAGCTGTATATAGATTTTAAAAAGGCTTACGATTCTATTGACCGCCAGAAACTGTATAATATTCTAATCGAGCAGGGGATTCCAAAAAAAAACTAGTAAATCTAGCCAGGATGTGCTTTTTTTTTTTTTATTTGTTTTCCACCCTCCCATGCCACCAGGGCAACACGGGCGTATGCAGTAGTGTGATGTTAAGCATTAATGCATAATAACACACTACTGCCATAATATCAGTTTACAAAATTCTAAGCTGTGCACACAGCTAGCTCTTCTACTTTTTCCTGGCTCCTTTAGGCCTGGCTTCCCGAATCCGGAGGTCTTCCTGGGACTGGTCCTCTTCTCCTGCGTGCACCTAGGTTAAAGTGAGCTGGGCCCACCGCCGTCTTCCAGCCATTTATAAACTCTTTGAACCGCGGGAAGTTTTCTTCACTCACCAACTGAGGAAACTCCTCCTCAGTGAGGACGTAAATCCCCGTGGTTCTCATTAACCTCGCTCTTAATTCGTCGAAAGCAGTGCAGGCCGTGACCACATGCTCAACAGTCTCCGGAACACCACAATCGGGGCAGTGGGGATCTATATCCTGTCCGTAGCCATGGAGTTTAGCTCTGAAACCCCCATGTCCCGTGAGAAATTGTGAAACCCAATAGTCCGGGAGGACCCATTTCGCCTGTAACCGAGATTCAACGGTGGGAAAGTATTTTCTTAAGGTACTGCCTTTCGGAGTCGTCACCCACCGTCTGCTCCAATCTTCAATTGTTTCCTCCCGGATAATCTTTTTCCATTTATTTGGGTTTTCAATAATCCTCATCCGTAGGTTCTCCGATAGACTAGTTGAGCCCTCCTTCTTGTAGTCATACCTGGTCACTTCTTCTCGCAGGAGGAGGTCGAGAGGCACCATCCCCGCTAAGACCTGCACTGCTTCATGCGACGTAGACCTATATGCTCTGGTGACCCGAAGCAGAGCAGTTCTCTGAGTCGATGCTAGCCTATTTCTTTGTCTGAGTGTGAGGTTTCGGAACCAGAAGGGAGACGCATACCTAAGGATACCCTCCACAACACCCTTATAAATAGTGATAGTGGCTGGATACCTAAGGCCCCAAAATGCGCCCCCCACACGACTTAGACCGTTCATTGCTAGGGCCACCCTACCTGCCAGATATTCCAAATGAGGCGTCATATTGAGGCCTACACCTAACCTAACCCCTAGGTAGGTTACCACCTCACTTGGACGTATCCTCTGACCTTCTATGTACATCGTTATAGGGTGTGCCCTATCAGTCTTTCCCTTAAGGAGGATGGCTTGAGTCTTAGCAGCAGCCATCCTCATCTTCTTCCCCTCACACCATCTAGCGACTAGGCTGGCGCATCGCTCTGCTTCTCTCTTGACTCCAGCTCTGCTGTTGGAGGCCACCACAGCAGCTAGGTCGTCAACGTAAGCAGTGGCAGGAAACCGCTCCTCCTCTAACACTCCCAGTAACTCATCAAAGACGAGCTTCCATAGAGCAGGACCAAGCACCGATCCCTGAGGGCAACCTCTCTCTATGGAAGCTTCTACCTCGTAGTAATTGCCTCTAATCTTGACACTTCTATCCTGGAGATAACTTCTTACTAATGTGTATAAGTTACTAGGAGCATCATACCTCTGCAGCTGCTGGAGCACGCTAGGCCACCATACGCTGTCAAAGGCGGAGGATATATCGAAAAGAAGCAACATGACATACCGCTCCGCCCTCTCCTCAACATCTCTGCGCACTCTCAGCAGGGCATCAGCGGTTCCTCTGCCTCTGGTTGATCCATATTGCCGTGGATGACTTGCTCTAGCGAAAACAGGCCGTAAACTAGTCATCATGAGGTTCTCCAGGACCTTGCTAATCACAGGGAGGAGACATATAGGTCTATATGAATTAGGGAGTTGTTTGTCCCTATCTCCTCCCTTGTAGAGTAGTCTCAAATCAGCGATCTTCCATCTTCTTGGAAAGTATCCCATATCCAGACATTCATTGAAAATACTCAACAGCCGGTCTTCAATATACGTGATACTGTTCCTCAAGATCGCTGCATCTATTGCATCAAGTCCTGGAGCACGATTAGTCTTCTGCTTATCCACGGCAATACGAAGATCGTGAATGTCCCATGGTGGGCACAAATCTGAACCAGGTGGATATACCGTGGTGCGTCTCACAAAATCATCATTTTCGCTGTCCTGGGTTGGGTCATCTCTGGGATATATTGCTTCAATGAAAACATTGGCAGTTTCTTCAAGGGTGGTTGCCTCAGTATTATGATACCGCAAGGCTGCAATAGTCTGCATCGGGGACAACTTACCCAATGCTACCCTATACGGAATACCCCAGGGATTCTTCGAAGACTCTTCAATGATGAAATCATCCCAAGACTTCCGCTTTTGTGAGCGAACCTCGTTTCGGTATATCCTGGCTTTTGACTTGTACTCATTGCGAAGTACAGTGCGCCTCTCTTCGCATCTGCACCTCTGATATGACCGCCGGGCCTTGTAGAGGTCTCGTTTTAGAACAGTTAAGGCTGGCGTCCACCATGGGACAGGTCGAACCCTCGCCTTCCGGTGCTTGAGGGAGTGTTCGGCAGCATCACGAATGTTGTTGGTAATCCTGGACACCTTGTAGTCCAGATTGTCAACTACATCCATCTCTGCCGCTTCCCACTCCTCGTCTGCAATCACTCCTTCCAGGTAGGACCTGAAGACACTCCAGTCATTTATTTTAGTGACGAAACCCTTATCAGTACCGTGGGAACATCCTGGCTCATTTACCAGGCCAATTGCTATCGCAACGTGATCGGAACTCGTATCAGATCTGAGAGTCCAATCAGCAATATACCTCGTAAGCGCAGGCGTGGCGATCGTGACGTCAATCCAACTCTGCCCCATGCCTCCAGAGAAGGTAGGGGTGGCAGAGGGTTCGTTCATCACGACAAGGTGATTTCTGCCTATGAAATTTCCCATTTTAGCGCCTCGCCTGTCAGTAATATTGGACCCCCAGACCGTGTTCCAGGAGTTGGTATCTGAGCACATGATCACATTCCTCATCTCTCTAATGATCGCCTCCATAGCGGATATGCTTTCTTCTACATCACTATTCACAGGTAGGTATGCCGATACCAATGTGAAAGAAATCTTGCCCCACTTAACGTAGCAAGATGCATAATCCGCCATGGTGTGTTGCCTCAGATCCATCACGTCAAGGTTAGGATTATTAATCACTATTGCAGCCCTGGGCCTCCTCTCTCCACTGCTCAGGGCTATAACTCTTGACGTGAGGCCAAACCCCGTAACCCTGTTCCCACGGCAGCTAGGTTCCTGGACCGCCATGATATCGTAGCGTTGTGCCATGGCGCGAAGCTCGTCAGCCACAATATGCCGGCGGCCCATATTCAACTGCAGGATGTTGAGTCTAATCATAGTGAGTTCTCCTCACTAATTCTTGAGATCTCTTGATGTGCACTGGGCATTCTCTACTTCCTGCCTGGTGTTTAGCCTTACTTTTTTGAACACCTTCCCTCACGCAGTTAACGCATGTAGGTGCGGTCTTATTTCCTTTTGCGGGACAGTTTTTAGCAATATGCCCACTCGCCGCACACCACTTGCATACTATGCCATTTGCCTCACAAGTAGCTTTTGTATGTCCATATCCCTGACACCTTAGACAGGGAGGAGCATCGGGGTAATCTAAGATTGTCAGTGACCACCAACCTCCTGTAATTATTTCCTCCTTGAGTAGATTATATCTTACCATTGGATGTACTTCTAACACCCAATTATTGGTAATTTTATTTCTAGCCATTGATGAGAACAATGGCTTTATATTACCTAATTGGTTCTCAGAAATAACGGCCGATTTTGCAGCCAACCTTTCCCATAGCACCCTTTCTAGATTTTCCGCACTCCATGAAAGGGGAACTCCTTTTACCTCCACTTTTGGTTTTCTTTTTAAGGCTAGTTTTGCCTCCATCCCAACTTCTTTTAATTTTTGCCATTCAATTATTTTTTTAGCATGGGCACCCTCATCTACACAAACTAAAACTGAGCCAGCTTTGGTCGCCCGTACAACTCTCGCCTTGACTCCTAGTTCAGTTGGAGAAGGCAGATTGTTGATGATGTCAGCTGCACTTTTACCTTGAGAAGCGATGGTAACATAAGTTGGTCTTGTAGTATCCATCGGTTTTAATGGAAGCCCTTTAACAATATCGGCCATCGTAGTCTGATGTGTAGACCTTTTCTTGGTCAAACTTTCCTCTGATATTGGTTTAGAGGCCTCGATCTCTTTGGCCACTTGTGGAAGAGCCTTTTTCCTTCTTTGCTTTTTCTTTACTTCCTGGAAACTTTCATTCTCCGTGGTCTCAATAATAGCGTGGGCATCGGCTAATAGCGGTTGTTCTTTAACGCATGGAAACTCCCGAGATGTCTGAGGTTCTGACAGTGGTCTTTGTATGGTTTTACTTTCCGACTTGAGTCCCTCGATAACCATAGGTACTGCTTTTTCCACTAATGCATTTACTATGATATCATACATTTCAGAGGAAGCTAATGTGTCCTTTACCACACGTTGTACTAAAAACGTTTTTTCATAGTTCTTATCATATATTGTCTCCATTATATCTATTAACTGCTGCATTTTCCCATTAACGTGCTTTTGTACCTTCGCACTCACGTTCCTGTCTGTTGCGTTCATGTAGACCCTGATGTTTTCTTTGATTCTACGTGCATCTTGCAGAAGACTATCGTCTACACGTTCTTTATCTGCTTCTTCTCGGGCGTCAGGAGATCCTTTCCTTTGCCTCTTTGCTGAAGGCCTTGGGCACTTTATAGCCTGTTCTTCCACCATTTCCTGCTCCATTGCTGATGCAATTTCATCAGCCATCTTACGCAATCCAAAATTAACAACTTTATACGTTGAAATAATGGGTGAACAACAGTAGAAGGAAATATTCAACACTCAAAATCTAACCTACGTTCGGGAAACTTATAAATTTCCTATCTTCAAAAGTAAGACTTTAATATGAACTTACCTTAGTGCTTCACCAACGTAATAGTCTCTAAACGTCCTTTTGGTTAGATTAAACCTTCGTGAAAACCACAAAGTTAACCTTAACCTCCACTGTTCACTCAAAAAGTTTATAAAATTAACTAAATAAACATAAACTTAAACTAAATCATGTTCAAAAAAAACTATAAAACACTAAAATAACACAAACAGTAGGAAACGATACAACAAAACTAACAAAACAAACTTGAAAAACACAAAACACTGAGAAGCACAATAACACTTTATCATAGGTAGATAGTCAGGATGTGCTTGACGGAGACACTCAATAAAGTTAGAATCGGCAATAATCTGTCCGAAAAATTTGAGGTTCGTTCGGGTTTAAAACAGGGGGATTCCCTTTCGCCTGAGCTGTTCAATTTGGCATTAAAACATGCCATTAGGGAAGTAATGCGAACCGACAAAGGGTTGGATCTGGGCGGGACAACATCCGTGCTGGGCTATGCTGATGATCTGGTACTGTTAAGCGAAGACCTTGAAACTATAAAACTAAATACGACAACGTTAATGAAAGCCGGTAAAGAACTAGGACTCGAAATAAACGTGGATAAAACAAAATATATGGTTAGCTGTAAAAATGGCGATACTACTGGTGATATCGATATAGATGGTAATATGTTTGAGCAGGTAGATAAGTTTAGGTATCTAGGTTCTACGATAACTAGAAAAAACGAAATTGAAGAAGAAATTAAGGTTAGACTGAAGGCGGGAAATGCTTTTTACTTTTCTGTGACAAAACTACTTAGTTCGCGCCTTTTGTCCCGAAACTTAAAAATTAGAATCTATAAAACAATTATCTTGCCTACAGTTCTTTATGGATGCTAAACTTGGGCGCTTACATTAAGGGATGAGCAGCGTCTTAAGGTTTTTGAAAATAAAGTATTGCGTAGAATATTCGGACCGAAGAAGGATGAGTTAACCGGAGAGTTCAGACTGTTACACAACGCCGAATTGCGTGAACTGTATCCGAGTAATATAATTGAGATAATTTCATCGCGGCGAATCAAATGGGCTTGTAAAGTTGTTGGGCTTAGTAACGAGAGAATTCCTAAAAGGTTAATATTTGCTGTGCCGAATGGTAAGCGTCCGAGGGGTAGACCAAAGCGAAGTTGGGAAGATTGCATTAAAGCTGATCTGAAGGGACAGGGTTTGGACGGCGAACGGTGGAGGGTGGTGTGTAATAAGCGATTGGTGGTGCCGGCATCGAACCTTCGGGTTCGCTAAGCCTTTTTATTTATATTTATTTATTATTTATTGTACAACGTCATTTTGGGCACGTTATTAGGTTATTATTAGTGCAACTTATTAGGTTGCACTAGTGTTTTCAGCCTCAAAACTTCTATGCATGAAATATTGTTTTTGTTTTTTTTGTTTCGTTCTGTCATATCTGATTAATCAAATATTTAGTTTAAAATTAATTTATGTTTATTAAGAGATGTATATTAATTAGAGCTGAGGGACACTGTGATGGTGTTAGCTATGTAGTCGATTCAGGACACACCTCATTTTTCCACCACACATTCTAGACGCATTGTTATTTCAAGTTTTTAGCTAAATATATATATTTCAAAAGTTCTATATAAATTTTATAAACGCTTCTTATCACTGAATTCCAGGACTTTTTAAAATTTATATGACTTTTTTCCATGCCAATTTATTTTTATGCCAAGTGCTCAATTACAACTTTTCGATCTTATCAAAAATAATAAAAATTATAAATATGGATGCTAGTAGCTGGAAAACTCCTGGAAAAGAGCGCGTTATCTTTTGTACAAAAGGCTAGCTCACTCTATAATGCGATTACATTTCAAAAATTTTGCATTCTACTCTCAAGATAAAGGCCTCTCGTAATAATATTGCGGAGGCAATCGGAGACAATCAGATGAGGCCAACTACTGCGAATGCCTATTAGCAGCAGCCTCGGGTCTACTGGAGGTAGTAATTTTTATTTGTCCCTACGTAGGGAGGAGAGGGGAGGTGGGGAGGACGGGAGATAAGAAAGAAGCGGTTAATATTTGCTTATCTCTCAGCTAAGCTCAACAGTTTAGTAGCCTCGGATAGTTCTATTCGCGGCGGGGACTCCCTCTCTCGGATTTATCGTTAATTAAAGACCAGACCCCTTTTTAACGGCCCTTTTAAAGTTAACGTCTTTCAGGCTAACCGGGAATTAACCGGCAATCCCTCAGCGAGCCTTTATAGCCTCCTCCTAGGCCTCTCCTCCTGGCTCCTTATATCTCAGAGCTTAATTCCCAACAGATCAATTCCAACAGGAGCGGAACGGAAGAACTGCTCAAGAAGTTTATATTTGCTTGCCTCGTACTCGCAAGAAGTTCGAACACACAAGAGAGATGCTTCATTTCCTCCTATTTCATGAACGAGAATTTCAAAGAGATTTTTTCTCTTATCAATACTGTATTCGAAAGAAATATTTTAAAATAAAAAAAATATTTTATTTTATTTATTTCGCTGTAGATATTTTCGTCAAAATCGACCAAAAAATTAAAAAAACATAACCCCCTCTCAAAATTTGAGGTTTCACGTTTCAAGATGCGTAGAATTCGAAAAACGAATAAAAGTTTTTTTGTCTGTCCGCCGTCCATCGTCCGCCGTCCGCGCATTTTCTCCGAAACTACTGGACCGATTTTTTTCTAATTTTGATATAAAATCAGAGGTCACCCGAGGATGATCCTCCTTCATCGACATTACTCTCCGCCTTTAACTTTCAAAATGGCGGCCGAAAAACCTGCGTTGCTATAGACTGTAGCTCCTAAACGAATGTACAGATTTCAATGAAACTTCGCTAAAGTCATTTTCTCGACGCCCTTTAAATTTATCTATATAACATACTTCAACGAAAAGAAGCTGGAAAAAAAGTTACGAGGGATGGTAAAATTAAATTCCGAATAACTCGAAAAGTTTTTACTTTTTTGTTGATATTAGTTGTATAGTTTTTTAAAAGTTTATTAAATTTCCTAAAAAACAAAAAAAAAATCGTCAAAATCGGACAATTAGGAGCAAAGATATGGTCTCTGGTTTTTTTTTATGTGTCCTACTCCAAACGTTATATGCTTGGTTTTTTTTTTTAATTTTAAACGTGTTACTGAAATAATGATGTTATTTTTGAGCATATTACTAATGATTAAAGAAAAACAGTTTAGTCCAATAATTGGAATCACCTTTTGTTTTGTTTTCTTTGTAACTCGGGAGGTAATGTCACTTTAGATGTATAATTGTTTAAGTATAATTTATTACGTATATTATAACAGACACGATTCAACCTAAACTTGTGTCTGTCAAAACAAGAAACATGACATACTGGAGATAGTTGAGATCCGAACAACTCTCTAGATAGTACACTCAACTTGTTATCACGCCAAAATGATCGGTGTGATAGGAAGAGGTTCCGCTGATAACTCAGCTGCCCAGTGCTTGAGGTGTAGAGTGAGGTGTGGCCTATCTCATGGCGGCATCACTACACTACAACCTCCCCTCTACGCAATTAGTGAGATAGTGAGATTTAACGATGCTTTTATCTCGAGCAGCCTCATCAGTTGCCGGGAAACACACTCCTTCACTTGTCAGGTTAAAACAGCCTTGTTGAAGCAACTGTCAAAGCACCATAAGGATCTAGACCATTTTAGAACATATATTTAATGTTTATCTAATAATGATCTGGTTCTGTGCGCGAAACAGAAATTTCGCTTACCACTAAACGGTTGATATAAATTATTTTAAAATAAATATATAAACTTGGATAACATATTTTAAACCAAAACTATAAATCAATAATTGATCTATGTTTGATAGATAGTTAGGACGAAGTAAGTTTTTTTGTGGAGTGAATTAGATTGATCCGTCAGATTTCCAAAGTGGTAACGCTCGGGTAAAGTGGGCTAGAGTTGACTAATTAGAATGTTTTTACATATGGACTAAAATGTTTCAGAAAATAAAAATCGAGTTTGTAAAACTATAAGCGAGGAAATTGCTAAGTATTTCATCCTCTCTGTAATAGGCTATAATTCAAAATTGTATCTTAACGCGACGCCATGTTAGGGAGGCGAAAAGGAAAAAAAAAGTAGTGTCGAAAACCAAATGATAACGAGCTCAGTTTAACATATGGATTATAATATTTCAAATACTAAAAATCGTACCTGTATACTGTATATGAGAGAATTGTTCAGCATTTCATCATCTTTGCAATGGGCTATAATTCAAAATTTTACCTGAACGCAACGTCGCTAAAAGGAAAAAAAATAGTGCAGAAAATCAAATCATAACGAGGATTATGTAAAAAAAAATAATAGTTAATAATGATAAATAGTGATGTATGATTACCAGTTATAAAATAATAAGGAATGTTGAATGGTGTGAATATATTCTAAGCTATACAAACCATAGGTTTAAACTTTTATGGAACCTTCTTAAAAAGTAACAGAAACTTGTAAAAACAAAGTAAATTTTTTTTTTTTTAAATTTCTTATGAACATTTTTCTATTAAAGTTTTAAGTCTACTGTAATAATTTAACTTTTATTTAATCAAGTTCTTAATGGATGTTCCAATTATTAAAAAATAAACAGCAATTGTATTTAGATTAGAGTTATAATTGCTCTTAAATGAATTATACATGATTCTAATGTGTCGTTAGTTTGAGTAGTTATGAATAAAAGTAATTTTTTAGATTGATTTCTTAGCAAAATCAACAAAATTTAAATAAATGTTTTTTTAAAAATAAAAAATCTGTAAAACCCTTACTTGAAAAGTTGAAAGGAAAAAAGCTGTAGTTAAAAGAACTGAAAAACTATCGATGGTAAAAATT